CGGGGGTGCCCCCTGTGTTTGGGGGGGGGGGGGGGGGGGAGTGTGGCCCCCCCCCCACCGCCATCGCTAGCTGAAGTGAAGCCCTTGGGGCTACTGGTGTAAGCCAAGGTGCAGGGGTCAGGGGCCTCTGCCCTGGGAGCTGGGTGCCCTGGCCATGCTGGAGGTCTGGGCCACCCGCCAGGCAGATGGGCCAGTAGCCAGTGGGGCGGTGATGCCATTCGATGCTGTTCAAGCGGAGTCAGCCTTGCTCAGCTCTCCCATCTCCCTGCTGCCCTGACAAAAATGGCACCTGGACCCACAAAGGGCTTTGTACCTGTCCCAGGAACCACCTGGGAACTGGGCTTCCCCCTCACACGTGGTCCTGTGTTAGCAGAGATGCATCTCTCCGGGCTTGGGTCTGAGCTCCCTGCAGAACAAAGCGCAGAGGAAAGCCTCTTTGGTGGAGGCGAGGTGGATGCCATCCCGCTGCCTGTCTGTCCTTTCTCCCACGGCCAGACTCCTTGGCTGCCCAGCCCTGACTTGTTTGCAGGACACTGCTTTCAGTAGCTCCCCACCAGCTCTGGGTTGATTGTTTGTCCAGGTCAGGGAAAGGGCTCTCCCCAGGCAAAAGTGGCTCAGCCCTGTTATTAGGCCTCAGAGACTCCACAGGAACAAGCCCGGTGCATGAAGCCGAGGACGTGGGGCTCTGCCATGCGGAGAAGCCTGTGCACATGCTGGTGACGGCAGCTGGACCCCCTCTGCCCACGGCTGTGGTGTGTGCCAGGGCATGGTGGAAGCAAGCTGTGGCGAACTGCTGGGGTGGGGATGCTACAGAGGTGCTGGCAGCTGGCACGGAGCGTCCCTGTGGTGGGCAGGGGGGCTGGAGGGTGCCCGCTGGATGCTGCCCTGGTCCAGCACCGGTGCATGGCTCTCCAGCCCCTTTGGGCGGGTGCTGGAAGGACTGCAGGACTCTTTCTCCATCCGTGATTGCCCAGCTTTGTGCTGGAGCAGCTCAGGCGCTGGATGTGTCAAGTCGGGCAGTGGTGCTGGGCTGGGCAGGGGCAGGCAGGGTGCGGGGGGACAGCACCTGCATCCTGCCGGGGTCTTTGGGGCTGTGGTGGCGTGAGGAGGTCCGTGGTGGGAGGTGCAGGCAGACGGGCTCACCCTCTTGCAAAGCCTTGTTGGAGTCAGGGCAGAAACCATCTGCCTGCGGTCATGTGCACATGGGAGTACACACGTGTGTGCGTGCGCACACAGCACGCATCAGCCCAGGGATGGGATCCAGCCCCTCAGCACCACTGTGTTGCCTTTCCTCCTGCCTTATTTACCTGCCATCCAGACTGGGGCTAAATCCTGCACATCCTCTGCGTGCCAGCACCCCGCGGCAGGCGGGATGACCGTGCTGCTGGGTGAGGTAACACTGGTATCTGGGCAGCGTTCATGTGTGTACACGTGTGTGCCCCCCCCGTGCACATGTGCACAAGGTTCTGCGTGTGTGCAGGTCATGCATCCACGGGCATGAGTGATGGCCATAGCATACACGCAAGGCACACGGGAGAAGGATGCAGCGGGCGTGCTCCTTATATGCGTGTGAGCATGCACATACATGTACAGGAACATGTACCGATGCAGACACACACAGGCTAGCCCCGTGCGGGCATGCGCAAGCATTCTGTGGGGTGCACGTACTTCAGCGTTGGTCGTTGTGTTTATTTTTCCAGAGCTGGCATGCACAGACGTATCGGGGGACACGGTTTTGCCTGGCCCCTGTGTGTCTGTTGGTGTGTGTTCCTGCGCATGTATGTCCGTGGTCATGTGTGTATGTGGAACATGCCTGCTGCGTCCTGCTCCTGTGTGTTTAGCGTGTACCTGTGTCCGTTTGGGGCGGGGGGGCTGTGCTTCCTGGTGCGTGTGCGTTGCGGCGGGGCCTTGGTCCGGGCGGCTGCGGGCTCGGACATGATTCTGCTTGTTTGCGCGGGGCCAGAGCCGCGTGTCTGTGCGTGATGGGTGCGGGCGAGCACTGCTGGGCTCTGCCGTGACGATGCTGTGTGTGTTGCAAGTGGTGGAGTGCAGCCCTGTCCAGACACCACTGCCTGTCTCGGTCTGCCAAAGGAGGGAAGATGGAGCGGGTACCGCACGGTGCCAGGCGTTTTTTCTTCATAAACAAGGGTATTTGGGGCCAATTGGAGCATGAATAATTCTGGCGGCAGCCAATGACCGAGTGCCGGCTCCATCGCAGTGCTCGCCCGCAATGGAGGCCAAACCTGCCGGGGCCGCGCGTCGCATCGAGGGGGAAGGGAGAGGGAGGGCTTAGCGCAGGGCTGGGGCTCCGCTATAAATCCGGGCGAGGGGCTGAGCCAGCACAGAGCTCTGCTTCGCTGCTGCACCGCTGTGCCCCACGCCGGGACGCCGTGCTCGGCCCACCCTGCCCCTCGCATCCTCGTCCACCCGGGTCCTCACCATGCCGGAGTGCTGGGATGGGGTAGGTACCACCGTTCCCGTGCTCGCTGCCCTCCCTTCCCAGGGAGTTTTGCCCCAGCCCCTCCCCTGCTCTCCTGGGCTGGACCTCTGCACCCAGCGGGGCTTGGCGTGGGCCAGGCAGGCGTTGGTGCGGGGGAACCCTCCTGCTGGGGAGCCCGTCCATCCCCCAGCCCCTGCTGCCGCATCCCCGGCTTGCCCC